CACCAAAAGACACATTTATAACACTCTTCTTAGTGGGCAAACAGTTAAAAAGAACAGAGTGGACAATCTTTCCCCTTTATTTTTATATTTTAATGAAGAATGCGGGATCCTCAGTCCTGCTGGAAGGTTCTTAAAGGAATGTTATGACACCTTTCCTTCCTTTGAAGAAATGTAAATAGATTGTCCTTCTGGGGGTTGGTTGGAAGATGTGAATGCAAATTCCTTCAGTCTTCTGAGGCGCCATACCAGTTGATATGTTAATTTGAGGAAAGGATCCTGCAAGTTCTTTAACAGAAGTCTGCAAAATATACYTGTCCTCTTTCATCAAACAGTCATAACAGCTATATCCATCAGAAATCATAAAATGAGGTAAGAAAACCCTACATCCCCCAGAAGAACGAGGGAGTCCCCATCAGGAGCGCTCTCCAGCACCCCGACTCCAAAATGGGTGGTTAATCTGAGCTGCTGTTAGGCGCATAGGCACAAACAACAGTCAGGACCCATCCCCCCACCTGTAGGCAGAGGGAGGCTACCCTCTCATTTACCGGGGTGAACCCCAATGTACAGGCACCAAGATGGGGGCAATAAGTATACCCACTCCTGCTCGGCGCCTCTCAGCATGGGCAACTCCAGAGTGGAAGAGTGTCCAACCCCTCTCAAGGAGACTGGTTCCAGAGCCAGAGTGGCACGTTGAGGTGAGTCCGACTATATCTAGTCGGAACCTCTCAACCTCACACACCAGCTCAGGCTCCTTCCCCACCAGAGAAGTGACATTCCGCATCCCTAGAGCCAGATTCTGTAGCCGAGGATCAGACCGTCAAGGTCCCCGCCTTCGACTACTCCCTAACACACAATGCACCCGACCCCTACAGCCCCTTCCACCGATGGTGAGCCCATGGGAATGGTCTCCTCTTCGGGCTGTGCCTGACTGGGCTCCATGAGCGAAAGCCTGACCACCAGGTGCTCACCAACGTGCCCCACTTCCAGGCCTGGCTCCATAGTGGGGCCCCAGTGACCTGCGTCCGGGCGAGGGAACACTAAGTCCATCAGTAGTACTCATTGGGGTCTTTGGGCTGTGCTTTGTCTGATCCCTCAGCTAGGACCTGTTTGCCTTGGGTGACCCTACCAGGGGCATGAAGCCCCCTACAACATAGCTCCTAGGATCATTGGGACACTCAAACCTCTTCACCACGATAAGGTGGAAGCCCAGGGAGAGGATACTTGCTTATACCAAACTATACAGCATTATATACTGTTGCAACATTTTAAAATAAATAAAAATAAGAAAGTTTTCTTTCAATTTGTATAACTTTTTTTCAGTTTTCATTGCTGTTTAAATCCTTCAGCATGTATTCAATACAAGCAATAATTACAGTATTGACAGTATAAACTTAATGTACATAGGTGTAAAATGTAACAAGATAATGACATCCAGATTATCACTGTAATGATAATCTGGATGTTCTTAAGATTGACAGAGGGGCAAAAATCAACACAATTATCTTGCCGTGTGACAGACTTTAAGAAGATTTGAACAGCTTGTGAAGTCCTGCCCAGTTGTCTTATAAAATGAAATGTGATTGATTTAACTCAGACTAAACCATTGATAACTGTCACCTCACGCTATTGACAAAGACTATATTTTTTAAGATCTGTGCAAAATCAAAGGTTTTTAATGTATATTTTTTTCATGCTGCCATTCATGACAACGTTTTGTAGCTTGAAACAGCTGAGAAAAAGTTCCCTTCCTGTTCTGCACTATAAAGAACTGTGTCTGAGTCAAATCAATAAAAAATATAAGACAGGACAATTAGTCTCTTATAAAAAGTGAAAATGTTAAAAATCTTTGATTTTGCACAGATCTTATGGAAAATGTGGTCTTCATCAATGGCATGAGGTGAGGCGACAGCTATCAGTGATTTAGACAAAGTGTCACTTAGTGATTGCTCCCAACATCAGAACGACTTTAGGCTTGTAAAACATTCCTATAATCAGTTGTGTAATCATCATTTAGTTTCCCATGACTAAAAGCTCAAATTTAGTCACACATTCCGACAAATTCACAAAAACATCTTGAACATGTTACTTAACTGAGACTCTGTTGTAAAAGACAGAGGCTGGCTGGATGAAGAGCAGAGTTTGTGGTTATCCAACCCAAAGACTTTTCTTTCTCTCATTTTTTTAATATTGAACAGATATTTAACAGATCCAAACAAAGAACCAAGATGGATACACTGTCGATTATTCACAAAATAGGCCAGGATCCTCCCGGAGTTATATCTCAATTGTTGGCACAGGAGACAATGTTTCCACTCCTGGGAGTTTAAATTTATCAGGTGATATAAATAATGACTGATGAATTATTAACTTCTCGGTTTGTCCTGTTTTCAGTTTATGGGCTCACATTTCTGTCTCAAGCTTACGTTTTTAAAAAAAGAACAGTCGGTGTTATCTCTTGTCTTTGTTATTTTCCAGAGCTTTAACACAAAGATAAAGTCACAAGTGGAGAGAAATAAAACAAGATGGAGCGACTTCTTTACGTCTGCTTTTCCAAACAGGGAGAAATTAACGATCAGCTTCCCTCTCAGCGGAGTCGACGGAAAACATCACGCACTTAATGTCAAATCCAGTGATTCAAGTGTGCTTAATGCAGCAGCTTATCACAACTTTATGTGAAGACATGAATCTTAATCACACAAAGAGGAGCAGCAAATCTCAGCCGGCGGCTTTTTGAAAGAGCTGTTCCAAAGCAATGCTCCTGTGAGATGAACGAGGAGAATCAGAGTCTAATCAGCTAATGGAGATGGCCTTTTTTTTCTCTTCTAAACATTAGAAGAAGGTCTTATCTCAAAGAAGATATGGAGACACTCTCCTCTGCAGCGTGAAGCGTGTCTGCCTCTTCCTCCTCGTCGCGTGTGTTAATGATTCAGACAGACAGAGCGAAGACGGCTTGCATGGGGGGGCTTTGATGTCCTTAAATGAAACATCTGTGCTCAAAATGAGGGGAAGAAAGAGAACTGGAGTTCTAAAGGAAGAAGTAAGACGGCCATGTGACTACGGTTTAATGGACTGAACAAAGGGGGTTAAGACACCAGACTTCCCTTAATAACATCTCACGGTCAGTTTCTGGCATTTCATCTCTACATTAGGACCCCCTGGCCTTTAGAAGCGCGTTCTTATCTGCTACATTTTACATTCCAGAGGTAGACTTTGTTCAAAGACATCAAGTTTATAAGAGTGCCAGAGTGGATTTCATCAGTAGTTGCAACAGATTTTGTCCCATTTCAAAGTCTTTTTTTAGTTTAAAAGACCATCTGCTGCAGCTTTTTCAAGACACGCAAAAGAATTCTGAAAACAGCTGCACATGTGAAACTTCATCATTTACCTAAAAAGGTATTTTTTTCTTTGACAAATTACACTGAGCCACAGTTCAGAAGAACAACTTGTTCTAAAATAAAACATTTTTTTTCATTAACCTTTCTCTAACCAGGCAAATCCCATTGACATCTCAGATCTCTTTGCAAGGCAACCTAATGTGCATGTTTTTGGTCTGTGGTAGAAAACCGGAGTACCTGGAGAAAATCCACATCCACACAAACACAGTTAGAACAGGCAAACTCCACACAGATAGACTCTGGGTCCAAACCAGGGGTTAAACCCAAGACCTTTCTTTGTGAGGCATCAGCCCTAACCACTAAACCAGTGTGCTGGTGTTTAAAACCAAAGGCCATGAATTCCATACAGTTTTAGACTAAAATCATTTTATAATGTGAAAGTATGGATATAAGCTGTTTTGGTAACTCATGCTTTCATTTGATATGGATTCTGGAAGAGATTAAAGGGAAGTGAAGGTATGCACTTGAATACAGATGATATATGGGTGCTATTGTGGCTTTTTTGCACTGCAAGGCCCTGCCTGGGTTCAAACTCAGGTTTGGTAAATTTGCGTTAGCCCTCTGCTCAATACAAACACAACCAGGGCTGGGATGGACCAGTCATGCAAAAATGCCAGTAGAGGGGACATTGTTAGAGCGAGGAAAGTGGATGCAGATGATGAGATGGAGCAGGATGACTTGCTCAAAAAGTTGAATTTAGTCTCTCCTGGTGCTGTGTAGATATCTTTATTCCACTTGGGTCACATTTTTCAACTTTCTCTACTGCTATGATGTTTTCTGAACATGAAATTATTTGCGACAGAACGGAAATATAAGGTCTGGACTTACCAACTACAATGTGGTGGTCTTTGTTCTCCTCTGGCTCTGGGTCAGACTCTGACTCCAACATGTAAGACTGGATGCACATGTCTTCTGTTGTTGACATCTTTCAATTCATTCGTAAATAAGTTGTTTCTGCGCTGCTAGATATTCAGAAACCCCTCTATCCAACTGAAATGAACCTGTCTGGAAGCTGGAGGGGGCCAGGGTTTGGATTTAAAGAGACAGCCTCAAACCAAGGTGCTTTAAGACACACCACAGAAAAAGAGTGAAAGAAGGGCTTGTGGAGTTACAATAATGAGGAATTCAAACCAGAGAAATGCAGTTCCACTTTATGAAGACCCCAACTGAATGTTTTAAATATGAAAAGCATCTGTTTCCTTAAAATGAGAGGGGGGGGGGGTGGAGTAAAATGTAAAATTGAAAGAAATTGTCACTTCAGTGTGTAACAACTATAAAACTTTTGAGGAGAAATGTTTAGGTGTGAACTTTGTACACTCTGAATATGCAATTGGAGAAAAAAATATATAGACACTGTACACTTTTTATTAAATCATAAACAATTTGTTTTTGTTCAAAGTGTCTGTCTCTTCAGGCATAAAAATAATCTAATGTTGTGCAACAATATCTTAAATATGTCAAGTTTTCCAACATGTATTTTTATCAGTAAAAAGGAAATAAAACTAGTTTTCTATAATTGAGACACCTATCAAGAGTAATGGTGTGTAGATAAAAGTTAATATTTTTTTCCACCAAAGACATGCTTCCTCTTCCTGTTGAACCACCGGAGCCGAGCTCTGTTCGTTCTGTCCTGACTGGCTGTCGGGAAGGTCCGGTCAGGAAAAATCTCCTTCAGTTTGCTCAAGAAAAACACCTCCAGGTTTCGACCTGCCTGGGCCACCTCTGAGTCTGGCTGCAGAGCAGAGGGAAAAAACACAACAAAGATTAAAACCCATAGAGCTGATCCTCTCAAATAGGAACATTTCATGTCAGTGCCCTTTGTAATATAGACTGTTCAAAATATTGTGATTTTAAGCCAATCAGGCACAAATTTCGTGAACTTTGAAAGATTTTGCTGTATTGGCACCTCTTCACTTGGATAGTGACCTAGCTAATTATTAAAAATACAACTTCTTAAGTGGCTGGATTGCAGCAAATATCCAAAACCTCTTTCAGTATGAAGGCAACCGTGACACGGCTTGGCTTTCAGTCCTAAAGTAATTTACTGTGCTATTATTTCACATTTCTCTTCTTTGGCATCACCACACTCTATATAACAGCTCTGGCATGACTTTCAAGTCACATCAGGATGCAGGTAAGAACTATAAGCTCAAGCTAGCATGATGACACCCCTCAGAAAAAGAGGGAAAGAGGGGCTTGTGGCCCATGATGGGTATCATGTCTGTACTTTGGTTTCTTCAAATTCTTGTCTACCAAGCATTGCCAGGTGTGCAATAATTATCCCATTTATTATAGTTTTAGGGTCTATACCAGGGATGGGTGACAGGTGGACTTCACTCAAAGCACCTCTCAGATCAATTTACAATTAAATTACACTCCTTTAATCAAGCGCACACACACACACACACACACACACATTTGTTCTTGAACCCCATGGGGACCGTGTATTGGCTTCCATTCATTTTTTTAGACTTTATAGCCTATCCCTGACCATTTACCCTAAAATTAACCTCACAGGTATCTACTTGACCCAAAAACTAACCTAAAC